TCCACGTATCATATTATGACACAGCTCTGCAGTTGCTGCCAAAAAGGCGCAGTAAATCATAAAAGAAAAACAGATCTAAGAATAAGGAGATCTGTTCCTAGAAGGCAGATGTGTTTACTCGGAATAATTTTATCTTCATCATTAAAGAACAGTAAGAACAGATAAACCTTTGTTTACAAGCTGTTAACACAGAACATGACATGTATATTTCTTTCTGAAGATTTAAGGCAAGTCTTGATGGAGAATTCAAGTATGTCTTTATGCACCTTTAGCTGTCTCTCTAGTGACACAGCACAACCAAGTCCTCAGAAGTTTTGGTACTATACGTTAACCACTCCTCTGCCCCACTCTTCTTTCCAATCTGATGAAATATAGGAACAAACAAGTTCAAACCCTATGGCTCCCCTTTCCCCTCCTCAAGTTTCTGTGTTTTGTTTCTGTTTGTTTGTTTTTTTTAAAGCCCAGAGATAGCACCATGACAGGAGAACAGAAAGTAAGTACTGCAATTTTATTTATTTTTATTTTGTTCTTTTTTAAGTGTTCTACTATAAGAAGCTATTTTCCTCACGGAGATATTTAAGAAAGCTCTCCTGAATTTGGAAGAAGAGAAAAGAGATAAGCATTCCAGGATAAATAAACAGTTATGAACTGAAGGAGAGCAGAATATCTTTTTAAACTGTAGAGCACATTTGAAGGAAAGAACTTAAAGACAACGAACAACTAATCATGCTTTTTCATTGTGTCCTACATGCTGTTACAGAGAAGTAGGTTCGGTTTGAAGAATCTAAGGACAACCTTCCATCCCAGTCAAGGTTTAAGTTATGATTCATACTATTTTAACCCATTCCATGGGGCTCCCGTAAGTAACAAAAAAAATGATTTGCATTATATACATTATATTTTTGGCCCAACCAAACTAAAACAAGTTTTGTAACATCCTTGCATGGTTCAGCAATATAAGTCACAGGCCTTTTTAAGAATTTGAAAGCATCTGACATTTGTAAAATAATTAAAGAACTTGTGTGAAATATATCAGGCCTTCTCAAGAGCATCAGCTGTTTCTCGTAACACTTTTTAGCTTTAAACTGCTTCTACACTGTGCAGGCATATTAACCTTATCTAAACTTCCACTGCATCCTTGTTTGAGCTTTAAGTCAGGATAAAAACAAATACAACAAACAAACAACAAGGTTTGTTCAATAGTCAACGGTAAAGATGGAAGAAAAGCCATAGAGGCAGAACTAGGCAGGAGTGTCCAATGGGACACCTTAACAAAGACAGTGGGGAGAAAGAAAAGCTAAGACAGTCAGCTCCTTGCCCTAGTCTGGGAAAATACATGTAGTAGTCTTAACTACAGAGAAGCGATTTTGTGATGGAAGTGGTACTGGCTTGTTATGGGACACACTCCTAAAGAAGAAGTCTTTTCTACATACAAGATGTATGAAATGCAGCATGAACACCCACATTAAAAATACAGTATTTCTGACAAGCACCAGCAGACGCTTGCATTTTGGGTATGGCTTTTCACCAAAAGGCTGCATTTACACAAAGTGTGGTTTTGCTCAGGTAGGCAATGCAGGAGAATTATTTTTTATTTCTTTTTTTTAAATACTATCACAGCACAATCAGCAGGAAGTCCTTATGAAGACTCTCGTGTACACATGCTGTGCTCCAGAGCCAGGCATAATTGACATTCAGTTACCAAAGTTTTGACAAACCCAACTATTTGTAAAATGCAAGACTAAACAGAAGTTAACTCATTATTTTATTTTTAAGTACTGTGAAACTAGCTCTACATGTTCCTTGCCTGCTAAGAAGAAAGTTTGAGGAGGTCGTAGATAGGATTTTGGCCAGTCAAAGGTTTTGTGCAATCCAGGCAAAAGAACAAAACACGTTTAACCACATTTCCAAGCAGAAGAAAATTAACCTACTGAATGAAGTCTGCTTGGGTCGAAACACTTCCAGGGAAGTCAGCTTGCTGCCCCCTGCATACCACCTTCACTGCAATCAAAATAATGGAGCAACTTTAAGAGCCACACACAGGCAAGTACCTCTGGTAACTCAGTACCAAGACAGACCTACTGCTTCAGGAACATCGCTTCCTGTAAGTCCCCTTTCAAGTAATAACCAGACCACTGATTCACTTAGGATTTAATGAGATTACAGCTTGAGGTGATTTGACTGGAGACCATAAAAGTTTTAGGAGCCCATCTGCTCTGCAAAACTAACCTCTCACACGCTGGGTACGAACTGACCTTTGAAAGCTGTGCTGTAGCTTACGTAGGCAAGATTCAAATCCAATTGGTACCTGATGGGAAGGCAGGTCAGACAAAACAAGCGATTGGTGCTTTTGAGCAGATTTCCATATGCACCAGTACTCAAGGAGAATCTTTCCAAACAATCAACAGCCTTTTCATTAAGGAAAGACTAGTCACCTCAGGGTACTTTCCCCATCATTACCACACCATTAATAGCAAATTCAAACGGTATCTGGTGTGATGGCCATAAAGAAACATAATTCAATTCCGACTTTGCCCATACTCCCGCAATCCACGACAAAGCACTGATCCTTGATCAAACCCCACAGTTAGTTAAAAAAAATAGAAAAAAGGAAATTCCTAATTGCACTGAGATCATCACTGCCTTCCATATCTCAATTTACACTTCTCTTCCCCCATTAACAGCTCGCAGACACATTTTCATGAACCAACTGGTTACCTTTCTCACATTTCCTGGTATCAGATCAAACGTTATCGACCCTTATTCGACGAGGAAAGTACAAGAAAAAAAAAAAACATTGATTTGAAAAGATTAACAGCGTAATGGGAAAGAGCTACTGGTTTTACTTAGTTACCTCTTACAGAGCTGCAAGAAGTGGCATCTCAGAGAGACTGGAGTTAAAAAACTTTGTGAGTAGTTGTCCAACGTTTGCAGCTAGACTTGAAGTGTTTCACACTTTGTTATGGCAAACCCGACGTTGCTCGCAGTAGAAGAGTCGAGTCTCCCTGGACAGCTGGATGCTGTATTTTAAAAGAAACTTAGGTGCTGTTATTTTTCCCTCCCCTTTTAGGCTGAGATGTTTTGTTGTTTTGTTCTCACTTCGGTAACGGGCCTCTTTATGCAAGTTACATCTGGAAACAGACAAAAGCCAACTGCCCAGCAGTATTGGAAAATTAAAACATTGGGTCAGACTCCAACGGACTAGGAAGCCAAAGGTCAAAGCGGCATTAAATCATTAGTTTCCCAGCTGCCACCAAGGCACAGAGTTGACCTTTGATTTTTTAAGAAGTGGTCCAAGCAATTTTCTGGTGGCAATATGGGCAATCTGGCACACTGGAATATTATCCTTAAGAAGGGTGGGGGTGGAAAGGAGTTCAGGTCTTGGAGGCAAGAGATTAAACTAACCCTTCGGTCCCTCCAGACAAAGTTTACTCTGCTGAACTGTAAGTGCAATTAGTGAATATGAAATTATCAAGCTGTAAAGCAAAGAGACTCAAGCATTTGAATAATTCAAGTAACTTCTTTTATTCATTTAGTAGGGAGAGCAAGAGGAATTTAAGAACATAACGGATGCATTCTAGAGAATACCAGAATATTGTATTTATTTCCTTGAATGATTTAAGTCCAGAAATCGTGTTGGAAAGCCCCTTTTTTAGCAAACACTTGAGATAGGAAGTCATGGTTCTTCAGATGGAACAACGAGAACACTTTATTTAACACAACTAAGGCAGCAAACACAGAAAGCAAAGGCCAGTTTACTGTGTTGCCTTTCTCTAGTCTCCAGAATATTAAATTTTATCTGCTGCTGCCCTCTGGTTCTAGTTCCCAATCCAGTTCTTACACACAGCCCTGCTGAATGCAATGGCTGCACATACTGAGTTCTGGTCTGGCTGCATTCAAGTTCCTAGAAAGGGGTTGGTTTTACTGCTGCATGGCAAAAAGCAGCACAGCTATCAAAGTGGTTTCTGATACAGCCAAGGTATATTTGAAAAGCATAACTGATTCTCCATTAGCAGCTGAGCACATGCACACACAAAACAGCTTGTTTGCAACCATCTAATAAGAGATTCCTGTGTATTTTAATAGTGTGCATATTTTTAAAGCATCTTCCATCAATTTATTTACTATAAAAGGGTCACCCAGCCCACAGTTTACTGTGATGGCTGTAAGAAAAGTAAAAGCTACTGCTTTTCTCTGTTTCAGGGAGCAGCAAGTTGTTCAAATAGAAGAGCTCCCTCCCCATCCTGTGCCCCAGTGCTAGGGGATTAACTACTGCCAACTCTTCCCATGAGACACCAAGAGCCACAGCAATGCCTTTAGGCACAGACCGAGCCACACAGGCAGGGGTGCAAGGAAGGTATTCTCTGAGAACTGAAATTAGTCATTGATGGCGAGTGAAAAAAACACGTTCTTGCTGTTCTTTTTACAATCAGTATTTTCACTGCCAATGGTGAAACGCACACCACCCTTAACAAATACCTTAGTGACTAGGGATGGGCAGGTCAAGCTCTGGGAAAGGTTCAAATACAGCCAGTAGAAAGTAACAAGCCCTGAACACAGACTCACCGCAGGAAATGAGACCTGTCTCCAAAGAGCTAACTGTTGTAATGCTCAGAACATACTTAACTCTGCATTAGTAACAAACACTACCTGAAACTGTTCTGCTTCAGGGAAGCAGTATTGGAAGACCATAACAATAACTTCTCAAGGAACAGCAACTTCACAGTTCAGCCAGTTGGCAAATCAAAAAGCTACAGATGAGTTGTTTATCTTTTAAACTTTTCTGCAGGTACTCAACTTATAGCACTAAAGAACCACCCGCACCAGATGCTTTTTGTTACACATACTTGAAGACTCCATCAAGACCTTTCAGAGAAAGCCAGCTCACTTTTCCTTGGTAAGCATTCTGGTTTAGTCACATTGTAGCACAAGCTCAAAATCGCTTTTAAGATACCATTTAAGAGTTGCATTCATTCTGAGGAACCTGCATGCGCCCACTGTTTCCTAAAGGAAGGACAGGTTCTACCACCGCAGCTTTCCTTCTTAAGAGGGAAAGATCAAGGCTTACATGAGAGCTACAAGCTACAACTTTAAATGAGAATTAACTCTTACAGCAGTTGCTGTGCTGCCTTCTTGTCTATGGTCCTGAGATAGGTGCAAGACGTGCCAAACTAGAAAATACAGTTCTTCTACACATAGGTCCTGTCCACATTTCTTGCTTTCCAACTTGCAGTCCTGTTTTCACACAGAAAGCAGTCAGTCACCAAATGATGGTATTTTTTTTTTTTAGGATTGGGTAATAGAGGAGATTTCTAGAATTGGAATTGCAGAATTGAGTACCACACACTGTGATGTAGCTTCTGCCACAAAAACACGGAATCCATCTATTTGCACATAGCCTTCTGATGGCCATATTGACGTGAGTGAGACAAGGTTCTGCCCTCTAAGCAGCAGCCTAACACTTACCAGTGCTACAGGTAAGTAATTTGCTCTTAAACAGAGCATGCCATGGATGTTAAACAATATGGTAATCATCTAGGTGACTGACTAGACCTCTTCTGGCTGCTACAGGAAAAATACCTTCTCCGCTTATAACTAGAAAAACTTCCACTGGACCTCCATTCTCATTTCTGAATGGAACACTGCCAGTGCTTAAGTTTACAGTAGAAGAAAACACCCTAAAAATAAAACCAAAAGCATTTACAAGGAATTACCAGAGATTAACTAATACACTGATTTTTCTCAAGCATCCAATCTCAAGGATGAAAACTGTCTATAAATATCCATGCACAAATTGAACCTGAAAATAGTTAAAAGCCAAACAGAATATTCTATGATTGATGAATGTAATGACTGCCAGTACAGTCCACTGAGATAATACATGAGAAGGACAACACTATGCAGTTATCCCCAAGCATTCCTCAGCTGAAGCAGCCCATTCAACACCACCTAATGACAATAAGAGACCTTGCAGTCTCCCCTACACTGAGCTTAGGAAGAAGGAAGACCAGCCTGCCCGAGTTAGACCAGAGGTCCCCTTTCTGCAACTGCACGTTCCTCTTCGCTACCATGCCTCTTATCACTGGAGACAGATGCTGGGGGAGCTGCTGGAGAGAGTAACAGGCAGCAGCAGAAGTCAGGGACAATAGCCTGCACATTTGGGTGTGGTGGCCAACAGGAACCAAAACAACTATTTAATGCAAAGTCTTGGGCACAGCTGAAAGCACCCACCCCACCACATTCCAAAACACCTTCTGGGAGAAGCAGGAGAGAGACAGCTCCTCCAGACCTATGTATGAGGCTGAAATGATCAGCCTGAACTCTCCTCCATGCAAATAGTTTTGCTTGGTCTTTTACCAAGCAGGTAGCAGGCCCACTTCTACCTCCACAGAGATACTTTAGTGAAAGGATCTCTTGCTTCCAACTCCTTTGTGTATGCACACAAAGCAAGAAAAAGTGGGTTTCGTATTGGATTCTTTTTGCTTGGTCCTAACATGCTGCTCTCTGGGAAGTCAGAAGACATCAATCATCGGGGGTTTTTTGACTGGGAGGATGATCCTGTAACTCTACCTCAAGGTAGGAACCAGAGTGGATTTCAGTGGTTCCTCTAAAACAAATGGTTAATAAGAGCTAGTAACTCCCTAGTTTTAGGAACACAGACTTGGCAGACTCAATGGACTTTCTAGTCACACCGTCCCTCTCTTGCTCCATGGGAGTTTCAGTTTCACTAAGAACAGAGACTAGTCTCTGGTTTTTAATAGAAGAACCACATCAAAATACTTTACACAGCAAAATACTTTAAGAGGATCCACTTCCAGCACTGTCCTTTCTGACACTCAGAAATGCGTGCTCAGGTTTGCATTTTCAGTTCCATGAACAAGCTTTCTGGAGCCATTCCCCCTAGCGAAGACAAAGTGGTGTGCCAAAGCTGAGCCAAATGCAGGCAGCCTAGAGAAGCACAAAGTGCTCCTGGGAGTGGCCCTGGCACCCAGTACTTCTCTGATCTGCAAGGCCATGAACATAAAAACAGCTTATCAGCTGGCATCGTTATTCACAGAAACAACACAGGTTAAGTGATTTATTTCCAGGAAGTGTTAAATCCTACCTTGCCTTCTCTCCTGCTTAGAGAAAAACAAAGGCTGAGATCTTCACCTCAAGTGCTAAGAGGAGAAACTATCTGGGAAACTGCAGCTGTACATACAGGTTTGATGAGAAGCAGGCCTTTGCTTCAACTAACTCCATTGGTTTTCTTCAGCTTAGTTCCCTCCTGAGGGCTGCCGTTAACACTTTGGACAGCGAGTCAAAACAACCCTCTCTGCTGGAAGGGAAGTTTGAATCCTAAAGAGGCTGCTGGGAAGTTTGGTTCAGCCACCAGTATCAGGTAGGGAATAAGGAGACATCCAAGGGACCCCTGGAAGATGTGAGCAAAGTACTCCTTCCTGACATAATCAAGGCTGGCTGGCAGCAGACTCTTGTATCTAAAACGTCAACAGCTCCCTTAAAGGTCTAACAGATGTCAGCAAAAATAAACATGGAGTTCTCTTAGGAGGTACCCTATATGACCTCATTAATACCTTCCCCTACTGACATTAAAAAACACGTTATATGCAATATTATCAATGTTGCCTTACCTATGATGGAAAAGTTGAATACAGTGCTCTAATCTGATAGATCAGTAGCAGAAAGCCCCTGCTAGGTAAGGCTTAACCATGACCTTTAGAAACAAAACTGATCTTGCAGGAAGTTGCATGCTTAAAAAAAGTAATTCCAGTGAAACAGGCACTCAAGATGCTTGAGATCTGGAGCTAATACAGACCAGGAAGGGATTTCTTTTCTTGGGGGAAGAAGGGAGGAGTCAAGAACGAGGAGAAAAAAAAAAGAAAAAAAAAGGAAAAAACTTTCTAAGAATGTTAACAGCAGACATTATATCTAATTTCTTTGCATTCCTTCTCCCCCTCCTTTTCCTCCCATTTTTAAAAAACAGGAGCAAACTTGTGAGTTAAGGATTCTGATCAATGCAACATGTTAGGAAAAGAGAGCAGGAGGTCAAGAGGAAATGATTAATCCTGTGCAGAAGACTGGCAGGATGGGTCCTGGAATGGCTTAGCAGAACAATGCCCCCACTAATAAGCAGGTCAAAAGACCCTTACAGTGAACAGAAGTCCCAGTTACACTGTACATGAATATTCTTCCCTTACCCCCAAGGTTACATTTGTTCATTGAAGTCTGAATCAGAAAGTAAAACTAGAGTTGAATTAGTAAGACAGGTGAAAAGCCGTGGTGCCAGACACAAGCATCAAATCTGAAAGACAAAGAATCACAACTTAACACATCTAAGTGATAACAGCTGCATTCTAATACAGTATTTACAGGAGGCCACAGTAAGCGGAGGAATGGGGGAAACCCTGCCATTACAAATTTCAGTTGTAACACTGACAGAGTTCAGCTCATGGTGCGACCAATGCTGCCTCTTGATAAAGACTGCTCTCGTGTTAACTGCGTAACATAATGTGGAAAAGGCCAAGCAGTTTCACTGCAGGCAGAACTCTGGATGTGAAGGTGCACGCGGCTCAAGGTTTATTCTGAGAAATAGTTATTTAGTGTTGTGGTTAGTTGCAGTGTAATCCTGAGGGATTCTCAGCCCCTGGTAATTATCCCAATCCCAGCCTGTTCCTTCCCTTTAGCATCATCGGCATTGTAAAGTCTTAGGACTGCAATGGGGAAGCAGTCAGAGGAAGTCAGCTGTACTTTCATAAAGACTAACTTAGAAGAAGCGTTGCCTACTCCATGATGCAGCACATGGCACGGCCCCACAGGTTTATGCTTGTAAATATACAGCTGAGGTTTCACAACTGCTTTAAGGCATGACCCTCCTATTAAGAAACAAGGACCCCGTTTTGCAGGCTCTTGGCTCTTTGTAAACCCCCTCACGTGAGCATTAGCATCTTCTTGGTGCCATCGGGGAACCGAAGGGCTGAAAACAACCCTGAAGGCTGTTCCAAATTCAGTTTGGTGTGATTTGCTGGGAAGTTAACAGGGAAGACAGTTTTTTACACCTGGAATAGTGACAGTGTGCGAGCAGCCAGCTGAAGAGGCAGAGGGGCCGGGCCGCCCCTCCTCCCCACAGCACGCACTTCGCTCTGGCCACTGCACAACCATAGCCCGAAGGAGCCAAGTGGTGGGGAGGGAACGCCCTCCGGCAGCACTGCTGATTGCCTTTGTATCAGCAAACAGCCTCCATTTTGAGGAGCTGAGGGTTTCGGGGCAGCGTGGGGAGGCCAAACCTCAGCCTTGGATGACTAGGAATAAAAGCGGCAGATCCGTACTCGTGCTTTCCAACACAGGCCGTCATTAGTGCCAGCACATGCCACTTGTGTGCACGGGGCACGTTTACCCACTCCTCCAGCACCCCGGGTGCTGAGCCCCTCCTCTCATCCCCAGAGCAGGGGCTGCACACACAGCTGAGGGGCAAGGAGTGCAGGGTGCCTGCGGCCACGCCGGGCCCTGCACCACAGTCTTGATAAATCACCCTCAAAAACCTCACAAATTTTACTAAGTTGAAAATGAAAGCCAAGGCTAGGCAGTGTAATGTGTACACCATTTTAATCTATGCTCTTCTATCCCGCGCTATTCTATTTTCGCTCTCCTGGTTCTGACAAAACCCAGCACGTGAATCCCACCAGTTCCACAGGCACAGCCTACTCCAGTTGGTGACCCCTGCAGCACTGCTGACAATCACATACTAGGCCACCCAATAAATCAAAATTTATCTCCTCCAAACCAAGAGGATACTGACTCATTTATTAAATTCACTGTTTCTGAATCTAATTCCCTATTCACATTTTCACAAGAGAACACGTTGAAAACATTCCTTCTACATTTAGGTCTGAGCTAGTAATTTACAACAAATTCTGCACCACATGTTAAGAGAGGTTGCCTCTTTAAACACATCCTGGTCAAGCGTTGGCAGTCTCTGTTGACAAAAGCAAGCTGAAGAAAGAAGCCTAAGAGAGCAAGGTTAGGTTACATCACTGCACAGAATCACAAAGTTGTTTTTCAGTAACACATGGCTGATGAAAAGTAAAGCACCTGTGAGCTAACCAGGTGACATTTTGCACCTAGTGTGCGAATACATAGGCCAGCCCTGTATGGCTGGTTCAACAAGCCAAATACAAGGATGTTAAAGAGCCAAATAATTGTTATCTGAAGCTCGGCACACGTGCTGAGTTCAGTGCAAACATCCATTTTACTCTGCCTCCCCACACAAAAGCATGAAAAGTAGATTCCAAAGTTCAAGCACTTACTAGAGGAAACACAGAAATTAAGTCCAGAAGAGAGTCACCATAAGCAGTGTTTTCCCCAAAATTTAGAGAACCAAAGTTGTTAGGCAGCAGCTCAGTGACAGTGCTATTTAGGCTGCATTTCCTAACCTTAAATACTTTGCTCGTATTCCAAAACAACCACTAACCAAAAGCTGGCCCCTCAGAAGAGCCAGGCTAACACGAGTCCTGATATAACTGTTTTCTATTTTACACGTAAGAAGATACTGTCCCAAAAACAAATTTCAACTATAGCAGAATGTTATGAATATGATCAAGCTACATTACCCCCTGCCCTCGAGCCTCAGCTATTTACCTGTAGAAAACACAGCCCCCCACATCCCAACATTATAATCCCATTCCTGACAGCCACAGATTGTCATTGTCCCAGCCTTCATCCTGAACTCCCCAAAATTGCAACTAGGCTGTCCTCCATCATCCCCGCTTAGACTTTTCCTGATACTCACCATCTTTCTTACACCACAATTCCCACAAAAGAAGCAGTAGTCGGACCCTAAATCTTGTCCTTTTAAATACAAGTACAAGCACTACTGCTAGTGCAAACATTCTGTGGAGCTGCAAACCTTTGAATTCCATCCCAGTCTCCTCTTTGAAGCTTTCCCCAATGGCTGACTCAAGGACAGGGCCTATAAAAAGAGTTTATTTCATCAAACTGAAAGTGGTAGAAGGGGAAACAGCCCTGTGAACACCACATTTAACTCATTAGACTAAGTTAAGTGTTTTGCAGTTTGAGTATTTTGTGGAGTGAGGGAAGAGAAGGCATACTTACCAGCCCTAAGATTGATTTAAAACAGTTTAGGGAAACAGGCAGAATTAAGTACAGGGCTTACTTTCAAATTTGAAAAGGAACATGTCTTCTTATTGACCCTATGGTCACATTCTCTGCTGTTTTTCCTTAGGACCATCTAAACAAGACAGATGTAGGCACTACTGAGGCAGCAGCTGAAGCCTGAACACTGGAAGGCACTCAGGAGTGGGGGTGGAAGGGAAAAGAGGGAGAAGAGAAGAGGAAGCCATTTGGCTATAAAAAGGATCTTTCTTTCCTGTTGAAATGCAACGGTAAAGAGTGTCAAAATGGCTTAAGGGTGGGGAGGTCAAACATGTTTTGAGATGTTAAAAAACTCTTTAAGCTCTGTCAGAAAAGACTGAAAAAAATCTTAAGGTAGGTTTTTGTTCTTCTCAGAATTCTTAGCCATCATAATAGCTGCAAGCAATCCTGATCTGTGGTCTTTTTTGTCAAAAACGACCTAGAATTATTCAGTTAAGATTTTATCCTAAAGAATTTCTCACTACAAAAACATCATTAGGTAACTAATTTTTAAGCCAATCCTCTCTTCAACAAACCTCCAGTTTAGAATTAGTACTGCTTATATAGTATAACTTAACTCAGCAATATAAAAGATGCTGGGAAATACACACTAAGTAGCAGTTTTAATAAAAATGTGGCAACACTATTCTGTATAATGCCCATTTACTCCGTATGCTATCAAAACTAAGCACAATATAGCTTTTCACTATCAAAAAGTACAAATATTTTAGGAACACTGGGGACTGGCAGATGACTTTTGCCATTTAAGAATTAAAATTTCAGAGCTCTCCTAAACCTTAAGATTCGTGAAGAAGACAATTAAATGTTTACAGAAAGACAAGATGTGAGGAAAGGCTTTGTAAGATTTATTATCTTTTACCCTTTTTTATTTCCTTACTCTAAAATCTGCAAAAATGCATAAAGCCTGCATGGTGAAACCATATTTGCTATGGCTACAGTGCCTGTAGCCAGCTTATTTTCTAGTCTGTATTGTAGTGATACAAGATTATTTTTCTAACCCAGGATAAAAAATACAGTGACATGAAATAAGAGACACTGGAACACAGACTGGCAGCCTAGACCTACTGAAAAGAAAACCAGGCTCATTCTTGCTCTTTCTTAGGCCAGCTATTGAGGTTTTGCTCTATGAAGCTGAAGAGCTCCCACAAGAGACCCCAACACTGCCATCTCAGAAGTTAAGTCTTGAAAGTTCCTTCACAGAACAGGAACTTGGAATTATTCCTGTCTCATCTTTGTTAATTGAGGACAATAGGGATACTACAGAGCAAAGCCACACCTCCACCATGACATCCCACCCCTAAGTTACACACTTGATATGGGTGAGAGTGTAAGAAGACTAACTACATTTGGGAGAGGGTTTTGAGATATTACTTCTGAACAGATGCTGCAAAACACATACCCACCACTATCATAGAGCTTATGTAGCACACCAAGAAATTAATTCCATTTGCTGACTCAGAAGTCAGGATGTTTAGCAACCTGACAATCCCATTCTACCACTGATGTCTTCTCATGTTCTCTAAACACCTTGTCTCTTCCTTAAGTTTTTGCATGCCTCTAAAATCTTCTACACGAAGTAAGGACTGCATTCTGAGATATGGGTGTTACTGCTCTGCACCAGATAGTTCTATGTGAATAGTCCTTAGAGAAGCGGCATGTCAGACTTCTCCCTCACTTTGTCAAGTGTGAAGTCTTCCAAGCACTCAGCTGGATTGGCTCGTTTGGACTAACAAGCATTGGCTGATCCTCAAGGTTGGTTTCCTGGCTTCAGTTTTGGTGGACTGACTGGGCCAAGGTCAGCCTTTTCTATCCATTTTCAGGAATTAATCATCACCACAACCAAATGCTTGTGGTCAGCATAACATGAGATGCACACAGGAAGAGATAAGACTGCTTCAACCAACAAATTTGGGTAGAAGTGCAACTTTCCTCTTACTTGGGAAGTGTTCGTAAATTAGGGATAAATTATAACCTCACACAACACTCACAATACTGAAGATGTATCATATTTAGAAATTCAAGCCAGCTTCACTGAAACTGCTATCAGAAACATAATTAGAACATGACCCTCTTTCTCCAGCTTTGAACAATTCAGAATTGATCAACGTTCTTTATTGAAAACAAGAACAGTGGGAAATACTTTGTCAGTTCCTTCTTAGGGAAAATAAAGACTGAATCCCCTTATGGTAGACATCATTACTCTCAAATGCCAGTACTGCTGTCAAAATTATTTGGTCAGCTAATTTTAGCAAGAACACAATGTTTTTAAGAGATTCACACAGAGGCCAGAAAGTTGAGTTGCTAGATCCAAGTTACAATCCATCATCTTTTTATTCCAGGGTAAGATTAGTAAATGAATAACATTCCCATACAAAAAATCTCAAATCTACAGAGTGAGACATTAAGACTTTGACAACACAGCCACTCAACTACTCAGAAGTCATCTCAAAATATAAGAATAAACTAAAAAATATTTTATTTTTAAAAGGTCAGGGCAAAGATGACCAAGAAATGACAGTGTTTCTATCTGGTAAACAAGAAAGATATGAATGGTTGATAGCATTCAGTGTAGTAAGTCCGGCTACTTAAAGTTGTGACAGAGCACAGGAGATGCAGATTCTCAGCTGCTCTTCTTCCTCACTGCAGTTAACCAAGAATGAGACATGGTGCCTGAAGTGGCTATCAAATTTAAATCAATTTTTTTTTTTTTTTAAGTATCAGTAGTAGTATATTACTGCAAACATCCAGGTTTATAGTAATTGAATGCTCCTAGATGAGGTGGCAGCATTTTAAGTTTCAGTAGCTGCTGTTAAATTAAGAGGTTGTCAAGGCAGTTTTAACTTGACAAATGATTCTCAGTTTTACAGAACTCAGATTTTAGCTTTTTTTTGTTTCTGACTTAGTTACAAAAAGGAAGAGGAACTGTATAAATCAGTACTTAAATTTCGCTCAGAATTTAAGTTAGCCTAAGGAAATCCCAAGACTGCCTCACCTCTAAATTTTTAACATGGTTATTGAACACTGGAAGATGAAGTTTCAGTTCACATGTTCAGTGCAAAGGTCACAAGCTCTGCAAGACCATGATCAGAAACATTCCAGGGCAGTGTTGCTTAATTCATGGCAACAGCTTTATTTAACAAAAGCACTCAAGGAATGGTTTCTCTCCGTAACTCCATATGGGATCAAACATGAAACAACTCAGCTTACTTCAAGAAGTGGCTTCTTTGACCACATGAGAGCAGGGTATTTTGAGAATTCATTTGCTTGGTTTTGATTCTTTTTTGTTGTTCTGTTTAAACCTTGATTTATAAAGATTTTTCTTTCCAAAAGCATTTAGATGTATCTAATAGTAGTGGGAAAAAAAGTCATGCCATACACATTTGGCAAGAATTTATCCCCTGCTCAGAAAGAAACATACATGAAGCGGGGAATAGCAACCCACACCATGATATTCTGACTCTCACTGATTTAGTAGAAAGTATATTTCAACAACAGCATTCGCTCTTCGTGAGCTGTTGGCAGCAGTTTGCCTGAGTTAGACAGGTTTCCTTTCTTAGGCCACATGTGTAGTATTTTGTATCTTTTCACATCATATCACCCAAGATGCATGTGCTCCTTCATTAGAATATACGCACCCAGAACAAGTAGCTAGATCTACAGCTATGGAATCCACCTTGGATATTTCCCCTTCTATGAAGGCAAGGGACTATATAGCTGTCTGTCAAGACCAGTCTAGGCCACAAAAGCCAACTGGAAAATTGCCAGTATTTCTAATATGAGAATGCCCTAACACAGGTGGCAACTATTTCTTTACACATATACACCTTAAAATTTCCTTATGAAAACTATAAGCCATAATGTAAAATGCCTCAAAGCAAGGAATAAACCAATTTGTCAAAACTCTCAGAATTCCCCCAGAACTGACAACCAGATCTGAATTACAGAGAAGTACATTCTCTTTAGTACAATGTATTTTCATTCTAAAGTAAGCTACATATAAATGCACATTAATTTCTGGAACCGTTCTTTCTTATGCTAGAAAATACCTGGAAGAATAAGCTACATTTCCAAGACAGTGTAGCATTTCCTTGAATTTCTCTCACCTGCTGATAGCATATTTGGATAGCACAGTCATCTCAGCTGGGAAGTATTACTATACTCAATTCTTTGTTTTGGTGTTTGTTTTTACATAAAACACTTCCTTTTTCTAATCTACCCCCTAGCTTATGAGAAATGTTTCCTTTTGTATTTATACTTTAGAGGGCACTAAAAGAAATTTAATCTTCAAAGTAAAAACAGATGAAAATCTTCTCTTCTAGAAGATAAAATTTCATGTAGTAGATGTATTCAGTTGAGACCATGTTTCTGCTATTATTCATGCTGGAAAAATAGGTGTCAAGGAACAGGACACACTTCAGGGCTTTCCCATGCTCATTCAGGATACAAATTAATTAGAAGGGACACTGTGTGAACCATTTACTCTATAATGATAGAGGAACATCCACACCAAAGGACAAACAGCAATTCTGACAGGACACTGGCTCAATATACTATTCTTAGATTAACTATCAAATTTGCCTTTCATTTAAGGAAAAAAAATCTTACTCATCTAGCCATATACTTCTAAATACTACATAAAATTGTATTTATATAAGTATACTGACAATACATAAAATCAAAGCAAATTCACAAATGCTTATCACTAAATAGGAGTGAATGTGTGTACCATGTTCAGACAACAACCAAAACTAGGAATAAGAAATAATAAGTCACAAGAATGCTTTATAATGAAAAGCAAATTGTGGCCTTTTAACAAAAATTTGTTTAAAGCATTTGAGTCTCAATTCTATTTCAAATGTTTGGGGTGGCTAGATTTGCAAAAGAGAAAGGAATTTGTGGAAGAAGGTGAAGAGAGCAAGTGTGGGCAAGTGATGAGGAACTTTGGTTGGTACTTTTTGTCCTGTCTTCGTACCACATTTTCAGCTGTGGTGTTTTCTCACATTCATCGTCCAGTGTTGAGTCAGCCTGGCATTTGCTTCCTTACTCCTAGCTTTGAGCCAACTCACCCTGCTGCTTTCTGCCATAAAGAGATCAGATACAGAATGTACAGACTGACTGGAAGAGGCTGAAGCAGAGGAAGCACTCATTCAGATGACAAGAGATTCCTGTACCAAGTGAGACAACTGGCTGTTTCCTGGTTAACTGCATACCAAACACCAATTCATTTCATCCCCAGGATGAACGCAGCTTCTGCCTGAACTCCACACTATTGAGTGGCTTCATTAGCTTGAACTTCTCAGCAGCCCTCTTCTTTACTGAAGGCATAGACATTAAGAAGGTTTCACAGATGGGTTGC